AGGCCTTGGAAATGGACCTCAACAGATGGGAAACCTTGACCTCCGAGTGTTCAGCCTGGAGGCAGGCGGTGCATCATGGCCTCTCCCAATTTGAAGAGGCCCTTGTCCAGCAGGCTGAGGCAAAGAGGCAGTCCCGAAAGCAGCAAAATCAGGGAGCTGGACAGGGGACAGATTGCATTTGTCTTCAGTGTGGAAGGGATTGTAACTCTTGAATTGGCCTCCTCAGCCACACGAGACGCTGTTTTAAGCCGTCCATACAGAGCATGTTACCATAGTCTCTCGAGACTGAAGGATGCCTAACTAACCTGGGACTAATGGGCAGCTTGCCCAAGGCCACCCAGGCTGGCTGTTCTCCCAAGTGGCACAGCGGGGGAATTGAACCCCCAACCTCCTGATTCCTAACCCGGTAAGCTATCCAGCCATTATGAGTATTTAAAACACCCACCAAAGTGCTTTTGCAAAGGGGAAGGTCTTTTGTCCGTGAAAAGAGGAACTTGTTGGCCCATCACACCCCATTTATATCTCAAAAGCCTTTCCTTTCTGAAACGCAAGGTAATTTCTAGACTGAGGGTTTTACCATTTCCTCTTTGATGGACTGTGAGCGAGAGTGAAAAAGACTACCATAGGGGAGAAAAAACAGGAAACCAAAGGGACAGGACGTCATTTATGCCCTCTGAAAAATTCTGTGAATGATGCAACACCATGACATGCTGGAAGTCCTGTCTGAAAGCAACCTTATTAAAAAGAGAGAATAACCAAGCACTGCAGGTCAAGAAAGCAACTGAATAATACTTTTTTTAAAAAAAAATCTGGGACAGCATACACACCTAAAGCAATCTGCACATGTGCAGAGGCATTTTGCACAACCTTGTTGCCAACCTTGAAAAAGTTGGCAAAAATAAATGTTTGTCCTTCCTTAACCTTTATGCACCAAACACATTTATTTTTGCCAACAATTTGGCAAGGTAATTTATGTATATAAATAAAATTCATTGAGGTTTTATTTTGGTGGTGTTTATGATAACCCTGTTACAATTCCAGCGTACTGAGGATTAGTAGAAGGATGAAACTGGGTTTAAGTTTTGTATTTCATAAATTCCAATGTCCTTCTCCCCAAAACCTTTTGACAACAATGAAGAATCATCGTCATCACCACTTCTGGGCATGATGGGTCTCTGAAAATACCATGGAATGTCTTTTGGTTGGTTATTAAAAATTAAATATGTACATTACACTGGCAAAGGCAAATAAAACCCACAACCCCAAAACTGATTCATAATTTTGGGGTACAAATTCCAGAATTCCTCAGCAAGCATGACCACAGGAGTTGTGGGATACTGGAGCTGTAGTCGCCCAAAACACAAAAGCCTTTGTGATTTAGTGGATAGAAACAGGAGACCCGAGTTCAAATCCTTGCATAATTGTGGAAACGTGTCTGTGTGTCGGTGCCCATGTTAAAACCACTCCTTAAAATCGCTCTCATACTTTAAAAATCCCATTGTGGTCACCACAAACTGGGTGTTACCTGGTGACACATAACAACAAAAGTCCAGAACACAAATCTTCACCCTGGTAGCAAAAATGAGCCAGTGTGACATAGCAGGCTGTGTATAACAACTATAATACAGTATTAGATTAGACTAGAATAACAATAAGTCTTAGCAGAGCAGGAAGGGACCCTGTGGATCAATGAATCCAAGCCCTGTCATGGAGGCATAGTGGGAAATCCAATGCCCAACCTCCACTGACTAGAGACCTGGGTTCAAATTCTTACTTGGCCATGGAAACCCACTGTGGTGGCAGCGGTGGTAAAACACATAACTTGACATCCCTCTTTGGGTCACCATAACGGTTTTATGATGGCGCACAACATGCTCTTGGCGTTCCTCCATGCCAAAATGAAATAGAAAAGTTGGGCCAATTTCTCCCCCACCCCCCGGTCTTATTTTGTCTGTTATAAACAAAACTCCCTGGCGGAATATCTAGCCGCCTAGAGTGGTCATATCGACCAGATAGGCGGGATATAAATAGAATAAATAAAATAAAATAAAATAAAAATTGGGGAACCCTAGACAACCATTGGACAGGCCTCGTTTAGTGTGGATTTGGCCCCCAAATGAGGGAGGGGGTGGTGGTGGTGGGGAGAAAAGCAAGCAAGCATTCAAGACCCATTGGAAATGCACAGAAAACAAACAGAGCAGATCGGAAACATGCAGAGAACAAAGGGGGCAGGTCGGAAATGCAAAGAAAACAAAGGAAAAGACAAGGGAAGCATGCAGGACCCATCAGAAATCGGAAAAAAAACCCAAAGCAACTAAACTTCCTAAGACCGATCGGAAATGGGGAAAAGACCAAAAAAACAAACAAACCACACCAAAACCTCCAAAATGCATCAGAAATGGGGGGAACAACCAAAAAACAAACAACCCCCCAAGACTCATTGGAAATGGGGAAAAACAGCAACAACAAAAACCCAAGACCCATCGGAAATGGGGGGGAACCAAAAAACAAACAAATCGCCCAAGACCCATCACAGAACAGAAACATAACCCCCCAGCTGAAAACCACACTGCAAAAACACCTGGAACAGTTTTTTAAAAAGCAGAAAACAGCACCTTGCCTTACAAGGCAGCCCGAAGCCTCCCTGCAAACACGCACACACACTCTCAGAAGCCGAAGGAGGCTGTCCCAAGCCTCTGATGATGACACACTCTCTCTAACTGCTGGGGCGAAACAGCTACCAAGAAGCAGCCTTCAGTTAGCAATCTGAATTCCCTGCTCTGTCCGTCCGCGGACGCGTCCCGTGCCATCCCGTCTCCTTCTGTGTGTGTGTGTGTGTGGGGTGGTAGGTGGGGGGGGGTCTGTGTAGCTAATTTTCCAACGTCTTTTTAATGGAGAGAGGCTGTTTTTAACCTAATTCTGTTTTGTGTGTGTGTGTATGGGGCTGGAGGATGGTTCTCTCTCTTTTGTACTACAACTCCCATAATCCCCCAGCAATATCTCTCTCTCTCTCTCTCTCTCTCTCTCTCTCTCTGTGTGTGTGTGTGTGTGTGTGTGTGAGAGAGAGAGAGAGAGAAGCAAATTTTCCAATTTCTTCTTTATGTTGCTATTTTTGCCTAATTCTTTTTTTGGGGGGTGGGTGGGTGGAGAGGGCAGATGGTGGTGATTTCAAAATTTATTGGGATTATGTGGCGGGAGAGAGTTTCATGGGCCGCTGGGCGGATGGGGGAAAAGAGAGAGATGGAACACACACACACACATGGGACACGGACCCACATACATAGAATGACAACTCCTAGCATCCCCCAGTCTGTATTCTGGGAGTTGGAAGTCCAAAAAGAGAAACAGCCATTTCCACGCAAGCGCCCTATCTGCCTTCCCAGGCTGCCCTCTTCCTCCCCATAAGCTTATCTTTATACTTCAAGGGTGAGCCTTTGATAGACACGTACGCAAACACAATTTTACAAGGGCCAAACAGACAGATGAGATTGTCCGGCGTCTTTAGGGCAGCAGGCAATTCCCCGTCCTGTGCAATTCTGACTTCCCGGAAGCCCTGCTTGTGACTTGTCTTAGGTGATGCTTTTTTTTTCTTTTTTCTTTTCCTGGTTTCATCTGCTTTCGGCAACCTCTTAAGATCAAAGTGTTCAAGATGACCATGAGGTCTTCTGCCACCCACCTCAAACTTCCCTGTTGCCTCTCCTGTTTCCCCGATCCTGGAAGTTAATTTTCCCAACAACGTTGTGATGTGTTGAGCCCTTCCAGCAGCTTTCCAAGTTCTCGTCTGTGGGTTGGCATTATGGTGCTCGGGGAGAGGTAGCATTTCCAAATGCACTGCTGGTATCATTCCTTCCAAGGATCCATGCATTTTCCAATTGGTTTTACGTTAATATAAGATTTGATTACCCCTCTTTTTTTTTAAGCTTAACAAAAAGGAGATAAGAGGAAAAGAAAGTCTTACAAGGTTTTGAGACTAGCAGCTTTCATTTCTTTCTTTCTTTAACTAATTTGTATGCTGTGCCATTTAATGACAGCCACTACTCACGATGGTTTACAAAACACCAGCAAAACCCCACTGGCGCCACTCCCAGATACCACCCACATATAACCCCAAACAATATGGCAATGACCAATTATTTTTTAAAAATCTGAAAACTGAACATTCACAGCAGCAGGAGATATATTCTTCAAGGCTGCTTTACACAGTTCGGTGGTTATTAGTTTCCTAAAAGTCAGGAGGAACTGAGCCTAGTGTACCTCAGATGGAGTTTTATTCCACAGAGTAGGGGCCACCACCGAGAAGGCCTGATTTATTTCAAGATCAGCATCTGTGCAATGCAGTTTACATCTTTAGAATGAATGGGGCACCCTGTTGAAGTCCTAGTTATATCTGCACAGTGCTCTTAACTGTGTCAGTGGGATCAGAGTAAAATGGGACATAAAAAATGACAGCTCTGTTTTAATATTGGCATGAAGTATTAGGTTTGTTGTTTAGTTGTTTAGTCATGTCTGATTCTTCGAGACCCCATGGACCAGAGCACGCCAGGCCCTCCTGTCTTCCACTGCCTCCCGGAGTTGAGTCAAATTCATGTTGGTCGCTTCGGTGACACCATCCAACCATCTCGTCCTCTGTCGTCCCCTTCTCCTCTTGCCTTCACACTTTCCTAACATCAGGGGCTTTTCCAGGGAGTCTCCTCTTCTCATGAGATGGCCAAAGGATTGGAGCCTCAGCTTCAGGATCTGTCCTTCCAGTGAGCACTCAGGGTTGATTTCCTTCAGAATGGATAGGTTTGTTCTCCTTGCAGTCCAGGAGACTTTCAAGAGCCTCCTCCAGCACCACAATTCAAAAGCACCACAATTTGGCAGTCAGCCTTCTTTATGGTCCAGCTCTCACTTCCATACATCGCTACTGGGAAAACCATAGCTTTGACTATTAGGTAGTATTAGGTAGCTTGGTGTAAATCTCCAGACAAGTTTTAATAATAACTTGCTTTCTTGCACAGCTTATTCACCGTTTAACAATCTACGCTGACCACGGGAAAAAGAATGACACCATAACAGCCGGCCGTCATAATCATCCATCATGCCAAACAGCAGCAGGACCCTGGACGATTTTACTGTTCCGGAGGAAGTGCGGGAGATGGTGACGCAGCACCGTCCGCGCATTGAGCACCTCTTTGGAGTAGAGCTGAACATCCTGGGGGTGCCGGGGTCAGTACAGAGCCCCAACAGAGACCCCCAGGGGGCAAGGAAGATCTGGTTGCAGCTTCAGGGACACAGAGACAGCCTGCAGAGGGCAAAGGTAGCCGAATCTACAAAGGGCAGGACTGGGAGGGAGGGGGAAATAATGCTGGTCTCTATGGACGATATTCTGCAACTTGGGTTAAATGTATTTATCAATGATTTTTTCTGTTCCATCTGATTCACTTGGAGAGATGTCTGTGGCTCTTCCTCCTGCAACACTACACTTTATCCTCCCAGTCACCCTGGTCACCCATTGAGTCTCGTGGGTAAGTGGAAGCTTGAACCCACATCTGGGACATCGCAAGCCCTGGGAGAGCACCCTAACCGCTAGACCACACTGGCTGAATTTCACATAGCAGCTGCCATCACCTCGGCTTCTTACTTTCAGTTCTTAGGATTTTGCATCAATAGCATGATGCGTATTTATTGAAAGTGTTCATAACTGGAGGATAACATGGTTGCGAGTTACTAAGTTTTAGTATGTCCACAGAGTGATATGTTCATTTGTGTGTGTGTTTGTGTGTAGCCAGGGTGGTTTTGATTTATATCAAATTGATTTAAATGGTCATTTAAATCCTAATTTCAATTTTTCAAAATACTTTTTTTAATGTTTTAAAGAAAAAAAAAAGATTTTTAAAAAAGTGTTATTTAAATCAATATGTGTGTTTTTTTTAAAAAAATCATTGATTTTTATGACTTTTTTTTAATGTTTTAAAGAAAAAAATGATTTTTAAAAAAGTGTTATTTAAATTAATATGTTTTTTTTAAAATCATTGATTTTTATCCATCCTGGATGTAGCTTTAATTGCACAACAGGAGTAATGTCAATCACACTGACAGATTGTGGCTCGAGATGGACATAAACCGCCAATTGGATGTTTTTTCCTGGTTCAGCCAATAGCTGACAGGTGTAGCTTTGATTGCACAACAGGAATAATGTCAATCACAGTGACAGATTGTGGCTAGAGATGGACACAAACCGCCAATTGGATCTTTTTTCCTGGTTCAGCCAATAGCTGACAGGTGTTCCACAGTTCCCGCCCCATCTGGCAGGCATCCACTCAGAAGCTGCTCCCCATCGTCCCTGCCCCGCCTCCTCTGAGTGCTGCCTCTGAATGGCCACCCACCTGAGGGGGCGGGACACAGAACCGAAGAACACCTGTTCAGGCTTTCTCTAATTGGGAAAGAGCTAAGGGGATATGCAACTTTCTGGCATTGTGTATGAGTTGCATGTAAACCCCCTCCTCTTTTTTAATGGAACTTCTTAATTATCAGTCCTATTGCACAGGCAGAGCTACACAACAGGATCTTGGATATTGCATTCTAGTCACCTGGGGAACAATACGTTAACTGCAACTTTGAAGTGGTGCTGTTTAGTTTTTATTATATCATTATATTCCTGTGCTTAGTTTCAGGACAGAAGCAGAGTATCTATGGGATTTTTTGGTAACTTGCTCTTTTTGCCTATGAGGACGACAAGAATGCTCCGAGGGCTGGAAACCAAGCCCTAGGATGAAAGACTGAAAGAACTGGGTCTCTTTAGCCTTGAGAAAAGAAGACTGAGATAGGATAGCACTTTTCAGATACAGTGGTGCCTCGCTTAACGAGCGCCCCATTTAACAATGAATCCGCATAGCGATGGAGTTTTTGCGATTGTTTTTACGATCACATTGTGATGTTTTAATAGGGTAAACATCACATTGCGATGATCATGGGGAAGCACTTCCTCACGATCATCCCAAAGGCCCCGCCGATCAGCTGTGTTGCGAGGGGTGGAGAGAGAGAGCCAGCCCGAAGCACAGCTGATGGGCGGGGGTTTGTGAAGATCGCGGGGAAGCCAGCTTTGCAAACCCCCACCGACTTCGGCGCTCTCTCTCTCCCTCTCTCTCTCTCTCTCTCCCCTCGCAACTCCATCCTGGGCAGGGAGACTGAGGCACCACGCCACCACTCTGGCCCTGGTGGTGCGGTGCCTCAGTCTCCCTGCCCAGGCTGGACCTGCAAGGGGTGGAGAGAGAGAGAGCGCGCACTGAAGCACAGCTGATCGGCGGTTGCAAAATGGCCACCCGCTCTGTTGCCTCGCTTTAGAGGCACTGAAAATGGCGGCCAGATGGAGGATTTTCACTTAAAGGTGAGTTTTTCCCCATAGGAATGCATTAAACGTGTTTTAATGCGTTCCTATGGGGTTTTTAGTCCCACATAGCGGCGAATCCATATAGTGACGATTTTTTCGGAACAGATTATCGTCGCTATGCGGGGCACCACTGTACTTGAAAAGGAGTGCTATGGGGGTGGAGGGATGGAATCTGTTCTCAATCCTCCCAGAGTGCAGGACTCATAATAAAGGGCTCAAGCTACAGGAAGTCAGATTTAGACTGAATATCGGGAAAAATGTCCTTATGTGTTAGAGCAGTACAACAACAGGACCGATGACCTCAAGAGGTGGTCAGCACGCCCGTGCTGGAGGCATTCAAGAGAAAATTGGACCGCCCTTTGTCAAAACTGCTTTGACTTGGATTCCTGCATTGAGTAAGGAGTTGGACTGCGATGGCCTTTTAGGCCTCTTCCGACTCAATTATTCTGTGATTCTCTGAAAAATATTCTCCTCTGTATTTCTATGAAAGATGTTCTACAACATCATGTCTTGTTTTGCTGTATTTTCCAGGAATATATCAAAGGTCTCTGTGCCCCAGAGCTGAGTGAGGAGGTCCATTACTCCAAAGACATGCAGTGCATATTTTCAGGAGCCCAAGGCTTGTTCCTGGACTGCCTCACCCAAGGGACTTCTGCTCACCTTACCGAGGTTCGCCCGGGGGCTCTGTTGATCTCAGGCTTGGCTGAAGCTTTCGTCATGGCCCAGAGCCGGATCCAGGAATTCGTGGAAAAACACCAAAAGAACCCCAAGCTGCCCGAGGAGCGCGAAGCGCAGGTCAAGCGAACCTTCCGGGATTTGGTGGAGAACTACGACGACAAGCACGCGATGGACCTCTTGATCTTGCCCACTGCAGTCAAGGAAGAGTTGCTTAACTTGGTGAAGGAGATTCGAGAAGCGTCCCCTAGCTTTGGAGAAAACTCTTCACTGGAGTCGGAAACGGGGACTCTGGCTGCTGGGGGCAGTGGGCTTGAGCCACAAAAAAGGCTTCAGAATACTCTTGGCACACCCGCGGGACTCTGCAGAATCCAAGATCCGATCAGAACGAACAGTTCAGGTGTTGATATGCCTGCGGGCTTTCCTAGCCCTCCAGAATCTCCTCAGAAATCCCAAGGTCCAACACAGCCACACGGCTCTGCTAGGTTTCGAGATGTTAGGACTAGCTTGCCCCCCATGGCGGATAGGCCTCAAGAACAATCTCTTCCTCAGGCGTCGAGGATTGGCTTCCCCCAAGGCTTGGCTGCGTCCGAATGGCATGCTAGGCCTCAGGACTTCATGTCCAGTTTAAACGGTCCTCAGGCTTGGCCCGAGACCACGGCCGCGCTGAGACCAGCGCTTCCTAGGAGTTCTCCTAAACCCATCCCAGGTGCAAAGACTCCTCCTAAGGCTCCGTTTTTTCCAGGTCTAGTAGAGTCTCGGGAAGAGAACCCAAAGGAAAGGAGAGACAGTCTCTCTAGGAGGGAGCCGAGCCCAGCTAGCTTGCCAGAGATGAGTGAGGAGCAGCCATCGTCGAATGTCCAGCTGTCATCCTGGACTGAGAAGGAGTTCAGAATGAGGCTCAACTTCTTCAAAACCATGGGCTACGAGGAGCAGGTGGTCAGGAAGGTCTTGTTGGAAGGTGGGGTCCGGGAAGCTCCTTCGACCATCCTGGACAGGGTCCAGATGGCCGAAGCAAGCCTATCCCAGCAAGAAAACATGGGCCTCCCTCGGCTGGAGCTGGGAGGAAAGGGGCCTTCTCCCTCTCCCCCAGAACAAAAACAGGACGAGAACGAATACGTCCGGGAACTCATCAAGGCCGCCGTGGCCAACTGTGGCCACTCGCCGAGTGAGATCCCCACAGAGATCCAGACTGGAGCCCCACTGGCCGATCTGCTGAGGCGGCTGCATGAGAAGGGGGAGCAAGTGAACGAAACGGAGGGTGCCGCGGAGACTTCAGCTGCAAAACTGGAACCAGAAGAGCCGTTTGGAATCCGGAGCGCCTCCACCTCGGATGAAAGGGAGTCTCATCAGCAGAGACCTGGCTGGGAAGCAAGCCGTGGGTCCCCTTTCCGTGAGGGTACCTGGGTGTCCCCAGTTCACCCAGAGGTGGCCGCTTCCCCTTCGGGCTCTTCCCCCGCTGTTCACCCCACGTTTGCCCCATCAGAGGCTATGGGGAGTTTTCCCACCCAGAGCCCCAGCTTAGGGCCTTCCCAGAAAAGTTCTGTTCCCACGGTAACTGGAGCTCAGCGCTTCGAGGAGGCTCTCCAGACTGAGTTCCAGCTCAGGCTGCTTGATGTCCCAGGCAAGAAGAACCTACGGGGGGTCATCATTGATGGCAGCAATGTCGCCATGATGTGAGTACAGGCTGGAGGGAGGCTGGCTAGGTCTTCCAACCCTTTCTACCTATACGGTCCTCAGGATATGAGGTTGTTTTATCCAAAATATTATCCCAAAGCAAGTGCCCTGTCATTGCACGTATTGTACTTGAACGTCTTTTTGTGTGTGTGCCTAGAAAAAATAATGTTTTCCAGACAAGAGTGCCACATGAGTCCCAACTTTATACCGTTGTTGTCACTGTAAATCTGTGTTTGGCAAGTGCCATTGGACATCCTTTCCGGAGTGGTTCCCAAACCTTGGATCTCCGGATGTTCTTGGACTTCAGCTCCCAGAAATTCTGGCCAGCTCAGCGAGTGCTGAAGGCTTCTGGGAGTTTTAGTCCAAGAACATCTGGGGACCCAAGGTTGGGAACCACGTTCTTTATGGCATTCTTGTATTACCTTGGCTACTCTCCCCCCTACTTCAAAGTAGACCTTTCTTCTCAGCTCCCACGTGTCTTCTGTGAAAAAACTCTTCCCTACGCTCTAACATTTTCAAACTTTGCAAAGAGAGGTTCCCCTCTCCAGAATGGAGGAGTTGTGGGAGAACCAGTGCAGACATAATTCTGGTTCTGTGCCATCCATTCTTTGGAGGTGGAGAACCAGCTTCATCAGGTGTGTATGACTTGTCACTGTGCTTCTCCTTCCATCAAAATTTCCCTTTCCCTCCCTTTGTTTACTGATACTAATAGGTAAAGGTAAAGGTTCCCCTTGACAATTTTTGTCCAGTCGTGTCCGACTCTAGGGGGTGGCGCTCATCCCGCTCTTCAAGCCATAGAGCCAGCGTTTGTCCGAAGACAAT